CCCCCCCCCCCCCCCAACAGCTTACTCCAAAGTGGAACAAACCATTTCTGCTTGTAATAAATTGGTCTCTTTGGTACGCCCCCTCCTCCATTGCCGGCCCTCTTCCTTGTTGACAGTCTTGTCAAACTGGTTGAAAACAACAAAGTCCATGCTCAATAATCCAAATGTTGGATTGTATACCTGGATTATTGAGCATGGACTTTGTTGTTCAATAGAGACACCATTCGAAGATCAAATAGAAAGAGGGACTGCTGGTGCCGATGAAAACAACATCCCTTTGGTTTTATCTGCGCTCAGCACCAGTTTGAGACGGAACAAATCTGATGATGTCCAATGCAGACTGTCACGCATATTATTCTGATGAAGAGCTTAAAAGTGTGGAAACCACAGGATTAGACTGTTGGTTACAGTGTTTTTTTTTTTTGTTTGTTTTTTTTACTTCTAACATGCAATGGTTGAGCTATAAACAAATATTGCACAAACACTCATAAACAAGGGTTTATTAACAATTCCAGCTGTGATGGGACTTTTTTTTTGTGTGTGTTTATCTTTTTTTACGGGAAACTATTAAATTAAATCTTTAGGATCTTGAACCACTGTGAAGTCTTGAACTCAACTTTGGGAATCTATACATCTGACAAGGACCATATGTCTATAAAGCATCTCCCACCGTACATTTAACGGTTTCTGTGCCACTTCCAAAAATGAGCTCTTTTCCTCCATAAAACGCCTTGAATCGTCCACAACTTTGATCCTAAACCTTAAAATTAAAAATCTCAAATGGTGTGCGCTGTCAGGAGGGAGTTGAAGCTGTAACACCTCTCCCTAAAGCCCCCCCGCTTCCCAACAGAAGCAGTGAACTGCATGCAACATGCTACAATGAACAAGTCTTGGCACCACTTTGCAACGCTCTACCCCCACCTGCCGTTACGCGCAAGGAAACCAGTATGTCCACACTGGGAAAAAAATATATATTTATTTGTCTGCCATCAAATCTAGAGTTTTGCATCCCTTAATAAAAAAGAAAACACTTTTAATAGCATTTGATAAAAGCAAACCCATGTCAGTGAATGGAAAGCAGCGCCAACTTGGTGAGGCTGAAGACAAGAACCCCCCCCCCGTGTGCCCTCTCTGCTCTTCAAGAACTGTGTTGTGTGAACAGAAAGCTTGAGCAGTTGGTCTTTTTTTTTTTTTTTTTTCCCTTTTCGGTGACGCGCGTCACCGAGCAGCACGTAATTAAGAACAACGCAAAGCAGGTGCGTCACGTTCAGCAATTAGCGGAGCATCACTCAGCTGCCGCTAATTCAGCGCTGATAGGGAGAAAAAAAAATGAAACTTTCATGGGGGGGTTGTCCCTGCGCAGACAGTGATGGAGATGCATGCATCTGCTGCACTGAGTGGACACCAGAGGAGAGGCGGTGGTCCAAGATGCTGATGCAAGTTTGGATGTTAACAAAACACCTTAAACTGTGGGGTACACTGAAGTGAAGCATTTCTTTTAAAGGACCCCCACCATCTTAATCCCCCCATTTTCAGTGAGAAAGCATTCTGGCCCCAACAAGACGTGCCTCAACTACCAAACAACACCCCCCTCCAACAGTCCGCGCGCTCTCCTCCTCCTCCTGCACAGCCAAACGGCTCACAACTTGGCCACAAAGTCGCCAATCGCTTCACGCGCACACGCCTCGCATCCCTTACCTTGACTGATGCCGAGGAGCGCCCCGAGGAGAACGGCCACTCTGAGCAGCATCTTTCCGGGAGTGGGGGGGTTCGGGCTGCAAGACGTCGCTTTAAAGAGGGAAGCTGCGGAAAATCGACAAGGGCGACACGCGCGCTGCGCTCCGTTCATGCGCCGTCCTGGGCTCCGCTGGCGACTGAGCTGCCTCGGCTGCTTTTCCCTTCCCCTTCCTATGCGCGCGCACCCGGTCTGCGCTCGTGCTCGCTCGGCCGCTGAGGAACACCCCCCCCCCCCCCCCACACACACACACACACACACACACACACACACCACCCTCCAGCATCGATTCCCTTCAACCTCACTGCTGGAAGCTGCTGCTGCTGCTGCTGGTGAAATGCAGGAGGGATGTGTTTATGTTCTGCATGAACTGCTCTTAGTTATTTAGAATCTTAAAAAAATAAAAATAAAAAACAAAACTCCATATGTTCAGAAAGCTTCATTAGCAGCAGTGATTTGAAAATTCCTGGTACCCGTCTTTGACAAGTGTGAACCCCCCTCCACCTACATCCCATTCAGCAGCTGCCAATTTATTGCATCTTAAGCTTCTCAACAAAAAACAAAAAAACAAACAAACAAATAAAAAAAACCTGTTTTTTTTTTATGTAATTAATTCACAAATCTCTTATCGTTCGCCCTCTATGATGAATGAATGTCCTGCATGCCAAAGTTTAAAGTCAGAATCTCGCACAATATGTTAGCACTCAAAATAAGCATGACTCACAGTTACTACCGCGCCACATTTCAGCTTAATGTCTGTAAATTGATCCGGTTATAGCCAATTTTGTGTTTGCTAAGGTCATTAGGGGGCAAGATGGGGCAGAGGCAGGGCAGCCGACTCACGACCCGAAAGTCCCAGGTTCGATCCCCCATCCATTCCCACATGTCGTGGTGTTTCTAAGCAAGACGCCCAATCCCTAAATGCTCCCCGGGCGCCTACATATCTGCCCACAGTGACACCTGGATGCACTCTGGGTGCAATAGGTTAAATGCAAATAACTATTTCCGCAATTGTATGGGAATTGGGAACATACAATTGTATGTTCATACGATTGTATAGGAACATACAATTTTATAAAACATCCCACATCATGAAGGTCCTAGAGAGACTTCTGTTGCCCAACCTGACTAGACAAACAAGCACATATCAAGACCCACTGCAGTTTGCTTATCGGCATGGACTTGGAGTTGAAGATGCCATCATACACCTGCTTCAGCAAACTCATTGTCATCTAGAAAAGGCAGACAGCTCTGTGAGAGTCATGTTCTTTGATTTCTCCAGTGCATTTAACACAATCCAGCCTGATTTGGTTTGTCGGAAACTCCAGAAAACTCAGGTGGAGGCCTCAACAATCACCTGGATCAAAGACTACCTGACAAACAGACCACAGTTTGAGAGACTGAAGGGTTGTGTGTCTAACCAGGTGGTCAGTAGCTCAGGAGCACCACAGGGGGCTGTACTCTCACCTTTCCTTTTCACTCTGTACACCTCAGATTTCGAGTAAAAAACAGACTCCTGTCATCTGCAGAAATATTCAGATGACTCTTCAGTGGTCAGGTGTATCAGAGATGGACAAGAAGCTGAGTACAGGGAACTGGTGGACCGCTTTGTGGCATGGTGTGGAAACAATCATCTCATCTTGAACATGAACAAAACAAAGGAGATGATTGTAGATTTCAGGAGAAATAGGAACAGGTCCAACCCTCTTTCCATCATGGGAGAAGAAGTAGAGGTGGTGGAGAAGTCTAATAAATATCTTGGGGTTCACCTGGACAACAAACTGGACTGGAAATGCAACAGTGAAGCGTCTACAAGAAGGGACAGAGCAGAATGGACTTCTTGAGGAAGCTGAAGTCCTTCAACGTTTGCAGCAAGATGCTACATATCTTCTATAAGTCTGTTGTAGAGAGCGATATCTCTTCTGCCATCATCTGCTGGGGTAGCAGCAGCAGAGCAAGTGACTTAAAAAAGATCAACAAGCTCATAAAGAAGGCTGGCTCAGTTCTGGGGACTCCTCTAGAACCTTTGGAGATGATTGTTTAAAGAAGGATTCTTCATAAAATGAAGAACATTAAAGATAACCCTCAGCATCCTCTTCATCAGACTGTCATACAACAACAGAGTGTCTTCAGTCAGAGGCTTCTTCAAGTCCGTTGTAGGACAGAGACCGCTACAAGAGATCCTTCCTGCCCACAGCCATCAGCATCTAGAACAACTCTTTAATGAAACCAGGATGATGAGTTACAACAACATTTAATTTCCCTCTGGGAATAATAAAGTATTTTTGAATTTTGAATTTGAATTAAGCAAATAAATCAAAGCGATATACATTTTCCTATGTTTTTATTTACGGTACCCGGTAAATAATAGTGTGTTTGATAGAGAGGTGAGGGTGGTGGAACAGTGAGGCTGCAAGGAGCAAAGTATGGAGGGTGAAATGTGACAAAAATAAATAAATACTCATAAGCAGAAGTCACAAAGGTGCAGGACTTCATGCACTTGGGGTCCATTGTCCAGGAAAATGGGAAATGTGATGAAGAGGTGAAGAAGAGAGTCCTGACCGAATGGAGTGGATGGAGAAAAGTTTCAGGAGTGATTTGCGACAAAAGGGTGTCAGCAAATGTCAAAGGAAAAATCCATCCAGATTTGGACTCCATCTCGACCATCATCTGGTCCCGTGCTGGCCATCTGAAGGTCCGGCTCCCTTGAAAATTGTTTTGGTGTTCAAGGGCTGCAGCGAGCTGACCAGAACTGGCAGGGTAGGTCTGCCGGACCGGAACTGAGCCGTAGTTTCTGCATAGCTGGTAAGTAAAATTTTGCAGTACATATACGTATGTTGTTAAAATGACATCATTTTAAGAGTTTAGAACATTGCAAGAGTGTGGGAAGGGTTTATAAAGTCTTAAAATATATATTAATACTAAAATACCTATATCATTTCTACTTTGCAGATTTTCACTTATTGCAGGGGGGGGGGGGGGGGGGGCGGGTCCCCGGAACGTAACCCCCACGATAAACGAGGGATGGTCTTTAACTGTTACTATTAAAGTTATTTACCAACATTTCTGCAGACATTTATATACCACTGACATTTCTTGTATTTATTAAAAAGTGAATTGCTGTTTCGATCATAGTTACAGCAAATAGTTGAATATATAACTGTGTATCATTTGTATGTATGATCAAACAAAGAAAACTAAGTGTGTAAATTTAGCTCATCGCTGTTTATTTAGATCAACCAGCTAGCCTGTTTGAAAACTATAGGAGGAACTGGAACACCAGGCGTAAACCCACGCATGTACAGTGAAAATGTGGCAGTCGAGATTTTATTTAGAACCTTCCTGCTGTGTAGTCAGGCAATAAAAACATGTTGCATTATTATTTTAATTGCACACACAGTATTTATCAGAAAGCGTAATCTGTTCTGGCAGAAGGAATGATCAAATTATAGAGCAGGTTTTTAACATCTCACAGATGTCTCGCTGGGAACAAGACAAATCATCTGCATTGATGAATCTACAATCGGATACTAAATGCACGTTAGTCATGGAATACTTGCTGCTTTTATGTTGCTATGAACCGAAGACGTTGGTCTTTGAGATGACTGAGCTGAAGTCCTGAGCACTTCTCAGAACTATGCTGAAGATATTCGTGGACGGTCATCGAGGTAACAATGCTCTTCAGTGCTGAATGAACTACAACCCAGTGGCCTCTCCAGGTTTAATTTCAGGATAACGATGACTGATTTTCTGGTCCAGGACTTGACCCACATACAGTGACGGTTCCACCGAACAGATGTGTCAAAAGGCCTTTATTGCCCAATTCCCCAAAGTCGCCTGACAGACTGATGCAATGAGGGAAAATGTGGAAGATAAGGTAAAGTCTCGACCTGCCTCGCAGGAGTCTTGAGGTGAGCCGTTGACTCTCGGGGTTTTGTTATAGAGCAATTTCTGTCCATGTACTGGGAAATGTGTGGAAAAATGGCAACGATTCACTGGAATGGTTAATGGGCAGATTTGAAACGTAAAAGAAGTCCAGCTGAACGTGAATATAAAGTGAGTGAATCTGGTGTAAATGCTCAAAGACTTGCGTTAGAGTCATATTTTAACACAAACAAGATGAATCCCGGAGAGTCGTTAGCTGAAAACAGATGATCAACTGAAGGATGAGTCATCTCACCTCTTTGATGGACGTTTTTGTTCCTATAAGAAAACTTAGCTACTGTTCATCTGCTGCAATTTGGACAATTCTCTTTTTGTCTTCTATAGGTGTTTTTTTTTTTTTTTTTTATTGTGGTGCTTACATTATTTTATTGTTTGTATTGTTCTTAATTGTGGAAGAAGTTTTTTTAGCACACAATGTCCAAGACAAATTTCTCCTTGGAGACAATAAAGTATCCATCTATCCATCTGTCCGTCCGTCCGTCCGTCCGTCCGTCCGTCTATCTATCTATCTATCTATCTATCTATCTATCTATCTATCTATCTATCTATCTATCTAT